TTATTTGTAACTAATATTCTTTCAGATATGATGGCAACCTAGACTCAGGCCACTAGAGACTCTGGAGAAAGTAATTAAATGGAATTATATAGCTACCTCAAAGCCACCAGAGCCATAGTTAACGAGAAAATTGTTATAAACCCCAGTTGTTTTCTTGGAGACTTTATACTTCTTTAAAAGATAGTTCAGGTGTTTTAGACCTCCTAAGAGGACTTTGTTCTAGGATGTTTTCTTCTTGGTCCTTGAGATACCCATAGCACACAATGTCAGACCTGGTACACATTTGGTTCCCATGTCTACAACAGAAGGGAGGAGAAGGGCAAACTTTTCTGGCTCATCTCTGACACCAAACGGACCCTGGTTAGCAGCAGGACTCAAGCCCATTCAGGTTGCTAAGTATTTCCTTCCAATTGTCAGTGTCATAACTTCAGACAACTTGTACTATCAGTCCAGCTCTACTAACTGTGATATGAACATGTATTTTTCTCAATCTTTAGGGTGGCTGTGGTAATAACCGGTGACATCACAGTGGACTCCTCTTTTGTGAAAGCTGGTCTGGAAACCAGAGCAGAATCAGAGGCCGGCCTGGAATTCATCTCCACAGTGCAGTTTTCTCAGTACCCATTCTTAGTTTGCATGCAGATGGATAGGGCTGAAGCTCCATTCAGGTAAGATAAGTGCTCATGGAACGATCCAGGACCATCTATGCTCACCAGGAGCTACATTCAATTTTAAGTGTTCAGTTTCAGAATTAAAAAAAAAAAATCACCAAACATTAGAAATTAAGCAAAAAATGAATTTTCTCTAAAGAATTAAAATAATAATAAAACTAAGAAGTCAGTTCCTAGAATACCATGCAACTCCAATGACTAGTTTATTTGATTCTGAATTAAATCATTTTCTAATCCAGAAATAACTCTTCAAGATAAAAAAAGAGATTTGATTTACTGTAAAAGTTACCACATTGTTTCAGCCAAAATACCAGATGTACATTTGCTGTCTGTTATCTTTCACAATTGTCCTCTGGACAGAAAGTTCAAAACGCCTGGCAACCCATTTACAATGGTTTAAAGGATAAGATGAGTTCACAATTCTTAGTTATCCTGTACATCAACCTGGCCTTGTTTAACTTTGAATTCAAGCTTAAGTGTTTAGAATTCTGAAAATTTTTAAAAATGGGTTAATAGAATGCTTAATGTCTTAAAAGCCAAATAGATACTTGTTCATGCAACTTCACAACTTCTCCAATCTAGAGTCTCTCATGAACACTGTGTCCTTGAACCTTTTAACCATTATTTGGAGCAGTACTGTCCCATGGAGCTAGAATGCTTTGGGTCTAGGTAACGCTGATTCTTTAGTGATAGTTATAGAAGTCTCTTTGACATAAACTATCTGACTATAAGATAATTTGTGTACTTAAAATAGCAAGTCACAATTTACATCATCTTCTTGTATAACCAGAGTATCTCATGTTACTAACATTTTATGACCCATATAATATAAGTACAAATATGAATAGGTTATATTTTCATGAAATAAATGGTAGTGCCTTATAGTTAGAATATTAAATTGTCACTAACCTATACTATCTTATGCTTAGAATAACCATCCATCCATGCATGAGAAATGTCAACCCTTCTAATAGCCAAAATGCAGTGGCCACCAACCCAGCCACATGGTTACCTGGTTTGGTTCCATGTTTCACTTGGGCTTGGAGCCTTGGGAATGTTTCCTGTCAGCATTCTCAGCTTCAATCTGGTTGGACTTGCTATTTACCCTAAAGGGGAGTGTCCCGAAGGTGGGGCTTCTGGAATGAGGAGCAGAAGACATCGAAGGCCTGTGAAGCTTAGTTCTATTAAACATCTCCAAAGAAATGAAAGGCATTCAGTCCTTCATTCCAGAAAAATATATGGCAGGACTCCCATATCCCAGGCATTTGGAGTATAATTAGTAGCATGAAAGGAAATGTGAAGAAGAAAACCAACCCATTCGCGGGAGTGGAGCACAGTAATCTTTGGTACTTAAGTCCTTTGTCAAATTGTTCTGGGACAGAAGCATCAAATGTACACTCAGAAACCTGGCTGGGATGAGTGTGGGGTGACTTTAACGTGTGTGATTTTGTTGTTGCTGTTGTCATAATGCAGGCAATATGAGACAAAGTACGAAAGGCTGTCCACAGGCAGAGGCTATGTCTCTCAGAAAAGGAAAGAAAGTCTACTGGCAGGATGTGAATTCCCGCTCCACCAAGAGAACTCTGAGATGTGCAAGATGGTGTTTCCCCCGCAACCAGAAGACTCCTCTTCAGGTGGATGGTTTTGAAACTGAGCGCTGATTTTTCACTTGAATTTGTCTCCTCCAAAGGGATACGATGAAACATGCCTAAGTACTTGCTCTCTGAGAGCACAGTGTTTACATATTTACCTGTATTTAAGATTTTTGTAAAAAAGTAATGGAAAACTTCAATTGATTAAATTTGGGCCTATTCCGTACACTACCTGCAATGTCACTTTGAGTCATCACGTGACACTTTCAACAACTTTCTACTTTTCTTGTACCTCTCTCAAATCCCATCTAGCACAGAGAAATTAGTTCCGCTCTAAAAAGAAACAAGTGTTTAAAAACAAAACAAGCAAACAAAAAAAACACATACACTTAGGAGAATCCAATTTTGTTTTGACAGTTGACAGTCGATAGATACAAAAGCCTTTGAGAGAACCTTAAGCCTGTCTGGCTTTCTACAGGAAGCATATTGTCTGCTAAGGGTAAAAAAAAAAAATCAGACCTTTTTCTTTTTTTCTTCTCTTTTTTTTGGGGTGAGGCTGCAGGGAGAGGCTGAAGACCAGACTTTAAAAGAATGTTATTAGCCAGCTTTTAGAATTAATATTTACATCTTCTGTTTTATTAAGTATTAAGGTAGAAAATATGCAGAATTAAAACACATCATTTTATCTTTCTGCTAGCCATGCAATGAGGCTGCTGGGAATCCATTCAGATTTCTACCTCCTACAAAAAACAAATGGAATTAGCACATAGAAATTTTTTTTTAAAAAAACCCTAATTTTGGAAACTCCATTTGACCACTCTTATGCCACATCTGCTTGAGACATGTGGCACACTGTTTTTTATAAGGGACTTCCTTATACAGGTTTCTCTGCCTGCGTGTTTTGTGGTAGAAACTTGGTTGGTTTGACTACAATCTGCATGATAACCACTGTCACTGAGGGGACATTGCTTCAATGGATTTGGATTTTGAAAGTATGAAATAAAATAGTTTCTTTATTTGTATATGTCAAACATTTGAAAATATTTATGAATAAACTCTATGTGTTTATGGTGATAATTCCCCAAATGAATGACAGGTGCTTATTTGCCCATTAAACATACACACATATGATGAAGGTTTAGCTAGCCCACTAAGAGCTGTAAATTGAAAATGAAGTGTGATGTAATAAATATGTGGAAATCTTATGGATATCCTTGTGTCTTTTATTACTTCCAACACTGTGAGACCAAGATCACACACAGCCAAGCCTCCACAGCAGAGCTGGCCAAGGTCACTAGATGGGAGGTCAGAGACATTTGGAGAACAGGTCCCTGAAAACCACAGCAGTCGGGACATGTAAGCTCAAAAAGAAAGCATAAACCTACTTTTCAGAAAACTCCAAACAGCACCTTTATTGTTCTGTTACTCACAAGGGAGAAAGGAGTCAGAAACCGAGGGTGGCAGGAGCATAGCGGATGGTTGCATCGGCCACTGAGGAAGCGTCAGTAAATATATTGTCAGCTCATGCCCTGGCAAGTGGGTCCAGGGCGTGAGCTGAAGATATAGTGGGCTGACACACCTCAGCCATGGGTTGTTTCACAACTCCCAGCTGCCTCTTTGAAATGAAAAATACTCACTTCCCTAGAAGTGAGACTCTGGTGCCCTGAACATTTGTGCTTTGCCACTCCAGACTGCTTATCTAGCAGACGTAACCAAATCGCTGCTCACACATGAAGACAGGGCATGCTGGAAACCTTAGCATTCTCCAGAGAAACAAGAAACCATAAGCCTAGGATAAACAGTGACTCCTTTTTAGAGGACCATGGTAGAATTTTAAGAGGGATGGACTATATTCTGCATTTGAAAATGACACATCCAAGCCAGCTCTGACCACTTCACAGTTGCAAATGTCAGACAGCCTCTATCTTCTGTGCAGATGTCTGTCTGGAAACCACATGGTCCTGGAAGATGAGTCTCGAGGCCTCTGCCCAGTCAGCTCCTTCCTATGAGTGGATGTAGCCAGGCTTCTCTTTTGTGAACCGTTGTTTCCTGTCATGTGTCCTGTCTTCACATTCAAATAAGTGTTAAAACTCACACTTATTTAGTGTTTTTTATTTGCCAGGTATTTTTAAGTGATATATATATATATATCTCAAATCATTTAACCTTCACAACAACCTAGTTTAAAAAGTAGTAATATTTCCATGTTGTAGATCAGCACCAATGAGGAAAATATAATGTGAGCCAAATATTTTTACATTTCTAGTAGCTACATTTAAAAGTAAACAGATACAGAAGAAATTAATTTTAATAATTCATTTTATTTATTTAACTCAATGCATTAAAAGTATTATCATATCAACATGGAATTAATATAAAATTATTAATGGGATATTCTACTTTGGAGAAGGATTGGTCTTCGAAATGTGTCTTATACATATAGCACATTTCAAGATGGCTAAACATATTTTGAGTGCTCAGTATCCTAGAATGGTTAGTGATCACTGAACAGAGCAGTGTAGTTTTAGATGGAGAAACTGAGGCAGAGAAGACACCTCACTCCACAGAAGACGCTTTGTCACCTAGAAAATGGTAGAACAAGGACTCAGATGTAGACGGTCTCACCCCAGAACCTGCTCTCTCAACCCACTATGCTATATTTACGGGATTCTTTTGGTTACAAAGTTTTGTTTGTAAGAGAATGAAAATGGTAGGTCAATGAAATTAACAAATGGGACAGTAGCTACAAAGCCTTATATTACAAAGTTCTTACTCTGTGACTCCTGTATCTCTTTCTGTGATGGTACCAGAGGCAAGTTTGAATTTACAATAACAAATGTACATTTTTTTGTAATAGCTTTATGGAGATAGAATTTACACACTATATAAATTCACTCCCTTATAGTAAATAATTTAATATTTTATCACATTCAAAATGTTGTACAGCCATCACCATAATCAATTTTAGAATATTTCCATCATTTCAATAAGAAATCTGTGCTCTTTAGCTATTGTTTCCAATCTTCCCATCTCCCGGTCCTAGGAAATCACTATCCTATTTTCTGTGGTTGTAGATTTATTCTGAACATTTCATGTAGTTGGAATTTAGCATTATACTTTCAAAGTTTCTCTACATTGTAGCATGTGTCAGTATTTTATTCTTTAGATTTGGTCAAACAGTATTCTATTATATGGGTGTGCTGTTTGTTTATCCATTCACTAGTGATGGACTTTTGGTTTGTTTCCAGTTTTGACTATTAAGAATAATTCTTTGATAGATTTTGGGGTGGGCAGATTCTTTCATTTATTTTGCACATATACTTAAGAATGGAGTTGCCACATCAAATATAACTCCACATTTAACTTTTTGAGTACTGTCAGATTGTTTTTTCAAGTGACAACCACTTTGTTTCCAAATGCAGCATACAAAGGTTCTATTTCCACATTCTAACCAACATTGGGTCTTTCTTTTTTATTATAGACATTCTAGTGGATATTAACTGGCATTCACTATGGCTTTGATTTATATTTTCTTAATGCCTAATGATGTTGAGAATCTTTTGATGTACTTGTTGACCATTTATTTATCTTTTTTTAAGAAAGAGTTATTTGGATTCTTTTCCCTTTTAAAAATTGAGTTACTTATCTTTTTATTGAGTTGCCAACATTCTTCACATGTTAGCTATAAGTCCCTTATGATATATATGATTTGTAAATATTTTCTACCATTCTGTGTATTTTCATTTTATTGATAGTATTTTTTGAAGCAAAACAGTTTGTGATTTTAATGAACTCTGTTATTTCTTTCATTTTGTTTGTGCTTTTGGTATCATATCAAGAAAAAGTCATTGCCAAATCCAAAATCACAAAGATTTATTCCTATGTTTCCTTCCAAGAATTCTGTAGTTTAAGTTTTTAAATTTAGGTACTAGATTCATTTTTGTATATTGTGTGAAGGAGGGGGTCCAAAATCATTCTTTTGTATATGGATATCTAGTTGTTCCAATAGCAATTTTGAACACATTGTTCTTTCTCCCTTTGAATTGTTTTGATATCCTTGTTGAAAATCAATTAACCATGAATAGGGAAGCTCAACTCTGGATTGTTTATTTAATTCCACTATTTGACATGCCATATTTATGCCATTACTACACTGTCTTGATAACTGTTGCTTCATACTGAGTTTGAAAATGGGAAGTATGAATCCACGTATTTTGTTCTTTTTCAAGATTATTTTGGTCATTCTAAGTACTTTGAGTTTCTATATGAATTTTAGAATCCGCTTGTCAATTTCTACAAAGCCCATTTGGAATGGATAGGGATTGTGTTGAAACTGTGCATAAATTTGGAGAGCATTGCCATCTTAATTATATTATTTTTTAACCAATAAACATGAAACATCTTTCCATTACTTAAATATTTAATTTCTTTTAATGTTTTGTAATTTTCAGAGTATAAGCTTTATCCTTCTTTTGATAAATTTATTCCAAATATTTTAAGATTTTCAATGCTGTTATAAATGCAATTGTGGTTTTTCAACTGTTTATTGCAAATATGTAGAAATGCATACTTTTTTGCATTTATTGTGTACGTATCCTGCAACCCAGCTAAACTCATTTAATAGTTCTAATAACTTTTGGCAGATTCCTTAGAATTTTCTGTTAAAAAAAGTGCATAGGGATAGTTTTACTTATCTCTTTCTAATCTGGATGGCTTTTATTTCATTTTTATTGCCTAATTTCTCTAAATGCAATCTCCGGCACAATGCTAAGTAAAAGCGGCAAGAGTGCACATAGCAAAGATGACAGTGTCGTGAAAATGTGACGGGCTGCCAAGAGCTACAGAGGAGGAAAGCAAGGCCCAAATCATGCAGTCATCACATTAGTTCTCTTTTCACTAAGTACAAATAAATCAAAGCTCATTTGAAATCATCTCAGTGGCCTCCTGTTAAAGGACGGGAACACAGAATCCAGGGGACCTATCCTAGCACTCAGAATCTGTTCAAGATTCAAACTGGTTGAAACCTCAGCATTCCTTACCAGTGGAGCTGTCCCCTAAATAAGGCAGTGAGAAGAAAAGGGAGCAGAAAAGAATAGAGAGGCCAGGCCTGGAATCTCAGCTCCATTACCTACTGGCTACATGATTTGGGACATGCGACTCAGGTTGTCATTGCTGAAAGAGGTATGATAATTTCTATTTCACTGTGCTGTTTAAAGATCCTGGAGATAATGCCTATAAAGCATAGTGCATGGCACACAGTAGTATTTGGTTAATGTGTGTGCCATCAGAGATGCAGTGAGCAAGGTTCTCACCAATGGTTATTGATAAAAGAGGTTTTTATTGCACTTTGTTTCTACTCCCCCCTTGCAAGTAATTGGAGAGCCCAGGGTTATTTCTTCTCTAACTCTCAGGGCTTGGAGTAGTTCAGCATTAGGTATCATTTACATGCAGCATCCAGGAAGGTGGGATGAAGGAGAGTAAGGCAGAGAATGAGATTTGGAGCAAGGTACTCCTGTATATCTGAAATCTTACCTCTTCCACTTATTATTGATATAAAATTTTAAACTTTTAAACCTCTCAGCTTCTACATCTGTCAAACAAGCAGCAGCCTATAGGTGGTTGTGCAGATGAAATAAGGTCAAGGGATAGTGGCACTTCATTAGTATCCACTAATGTTAACTTTTAATATGTAGTCCTATAGCACTCCTGAGTGTCATGTTCTGACTTTGGCGAGTGAATCTATTTTTTGGACTTTTACTCATGAGCATATGAGATTT